TAGAGGTGCAGCTTGGGCTAACTATCCTCGTAGCTAGCAGTAGAGGTGCAGCTTGGGCTAACTATCCTCGTAGCTAGCCCAGGATTCAGGAGGGCTGGTATAGCCCATGCTGAAACCTGTGCAGTCACAGCTTCACTCTCAGGCACCTGAGCTAGCTAGATTAACTATAACTCATGTGTGTCTATATGAGCTGCAGTCACACTCTGGAACTACAGACATACCCTCAGAAAAAATGTGTTGGCAGCTAGTCCATCATGTCAGTCATCAACAGAACTGTTCCCCAGTTTTCAATGCTAGGACCAACAGAACACTGTCCACCTTTGCCACCTCCACTGAAGATAAAGGCGGAGGCATCGTGTGAAGGAAAAGGGGTTGCCCAGCTGTGAGGCAGAACAGCATTTGGCTTGCAGAACACTGCTTGGCAGTAAAGATGCATGAGCCAAGAAGAATACAGCTGGGCTTTCAGATCCAAGGGTGAACTTGCAATTAGAAAAAAACAAAACGCCCCCTCGCACATACACATTTTTTTTTTACCAGTACTCTGAACAATTTGATCTGGAGTCAGACACAGTCACCATGGAAACCCACAAGGCCATTTCTACATCAGAGTACAGATTTACTTCTTAAGGGCGAAATCCTCCAGATAGACACAAGCGTGAGAAAGCCTAGACTCTGCGAGTTAAGGTTACACTTGAGAAACCCAGCTCAAAGATCAGAAAGTATGAAAGTGAAAATATCACCTCACCAACCTCAACTCTTCCCAGTATCATTGCCAGCCTGCCAAAGCTGTCCGAAGGGGGCCATAGATCCTGTGGCAACCCTCTCCCAAAGCCCTAGGCATGGCGCTTGGTGAAAACCCTCCCTGCTGCAGGCCCCACCCTCACTCCAACATGGGGCTGGGGTGCTCTGCTTCTTGCTGCTGCTGAGGAGTTGCATGCGGCAGGCTGGGAGAGATGCAGGGAGAGGCAGAGTGGAGCAAAGCGGGTTGCTGGGTATTCCAGCCACATGGTGAGTGATGGGGGAGTGACTCCTGCTGTCGCCCTGGATCCCTCCCATCCATAGGATGGTTGGGGTAGCCCCCACATGGCCCTCAAAAACATGGGGCCTAGGGCAGCTGCCCCAATTTGTCCTATGACTGCCCTGCTTCTACGTCCCTGGATATTTAGGGGCTTCCAGGTTGGAGATCATTCTCTGAGGTCTGCACAGCTACAGCTCTCAAGGGGATGAAAAAGGTGTGATTGAGCTTGGCTGGTGTAGGCAGTGCTATGTGGCCAGAAGAATTCTTCCCTTGACTTAGCTATTGCTTCTTGGGGAGTTAGATTGCCTACAGTGCCAGGAGAACCACCCACCTCTCCCTGACGCACCCATCACTATGCTATATGGATACCAACAGCACCTTGCCAGTAGCACCTCATACTAACCACGACTTGTGCATGTGATAGAGGCATGCTGATGAAGGGAGAATTAGAAAGTCTTGGTATGTTTGCACAGTATAGTCAGGCAGAATCTGAACAAAGCACTCAAACGCACGCTCTTGGGTGGCAGCCAAAAGCCAGTTCTTCGTGTATACATTCCCTTTCAATCAAAGCTGCACTGCAGAATTCTCACATGGTATTAAAAATTGCTCCCACAGGTAGTTAGCTGTGGGATTGTGCTGGCACAAAGGCTCTGTCCCTGAGTACCGCCCCATGAAGAGGTGGATTTATGTGGATTTTCTTTCAGCCCTTAATCCCCAAATCATTGTTACTTTTCTTCTCTTTCCTCCCCTTTAAACTGGTTTGGTTGGAAGGAGGCCCCAGCTCAAATCCAGTCACTGCATTTCACTGTAAGAGGCAAATTGATAATACGTTTGATTGGAAAGATCAGAAATCACACTTAGTGAGAGACAGATAGTACTGATGATAAATCTCCTACACTATTTGCATCCAGAGAGTAGACAGGGAAATATGTCATGGCTGGTGTATGGAAAGTGATCTCGTGATGCTTCCTCATGACGGTAAACTCTTTTCAGGAGTACGTGTTTAAAAAATGCAAAACCGCAGGGCTGAGCCAGTTTACTGTATGCACCAGCATGTACTTCACAGGGTATGAAAAGGGCACTGAAACTTTGTCTGTAGCTTGGGTTTGCTCTGGTGCAGCTATGTGGGCTGCTAGACACCAAAGGCTGACATAATCTTTTTAATTTGTACCTGTTGAGCTTTCCTAGTAGCTGTAGTCTGGATCCTTCCATCACGTCACTGACTTATCAACTGTGTTCGCTTTTCCTTTGCCATCCACTCACTCCGCTTCAAATTAGCATCCAATTCTGCCATGCAACGAGGAAACCATATCCCAGCTTGTGTATGGGAGCTGCTGCAGAGCTTTGCGATGTTATTTTAACAGTTCCATATCTTAATGTAAAATAAGCAAGTAGATTATTTAGATATGGTACCTCAGGCATCATGCCCATGGCTTGCAGACCGTGACCTCTTCAGGGCAAAGACTTTATCTTCTATATGAAAACTCACCATACACACCTACAACACAGCAGAAATAACAATAGTTTTGTTGATTGTAACCACAAAATCATTACAAAGATCAGATTTCTGCTCTCGGCCCATTCTGGACTTGAAAGAGTTAAAGTACACTAACTAGCCAAGACAGTACTTAGATACCTAGCTCTTAACTGTCCCCATAAGTAATGTGGTATATTTGTGCTGCTCTTCTCTGAATACTTTCCCATTTGCCAATATATTCCGCAGGACCTAGAACTGAGCTCATTTTTGCAGACACTCCTGACTTGTGCACAGTGAGAAGGGGTGATTAGCATATTACCACAAACACCAGAACACACACAACTCCCCTGTTTATCCTTTCATTGCACAGAACAATCCAGTGAATCGTTCAAGGGACTGCAGAATAGTTGGTGAATACAACAGCTTTCACTGAGATTTGGTTGGAAACGCATCTGGACCCCAAAGCAAAATTTGGTGATTTGGCTGAGGTTGCATGGCCACAGTGGCAATAGGTATGCTGACCATACGGCCTGGAAAATCCGGGACAGTCCAGAATTTTAATGTCCTATCCCAGTGCCCCATGCACCTCTGAAATGTCCCGGAAAGTCCCCAGGCTCTAACCGCAGCTGGAAGTGGCTGTGCAGCTGATTCTCCTCCCCCTCCACTGACTGGGGGAATGTAAGAGTCAGGGACACTTCCCAGGCGTCAATAGCCACAGCAGGAGGCATTGCCTGTTGGGAGCACATGGAAAACAAGTAAGTGGTTGGGCTGGGGGTCAGGGTGGACAAACAGTGCATGGCTGGGCGGGGGAGCTGAAGAGCAGACTGGTGGCCTGGCTGGGCCAGGGGTGGGGGGCAGAACGGGAGGGCATAGAGCGGCCCAGCTGGGCTGGGAGGGAGGCTGAAGAGTGGCCCACAGCCTGGCTGGGGTTTGGAGGAAAGGGGATGCCAGGAAGCCCAGTATGGCAGGCAGCAGCAGGGGGCCTGAAATGACTCCCCTTATCCAGAAAAATTTCTCATCTGGGACCAGTCAGGTCCAGAGGGTTGCCAGACCAGGGAAGTCCAACCCCTATCCCCCAAGTCTGTCCTGCACCCTCCCTCCTGGCCAGACCCTCTACTCCCAGTCTGCTCCTGCACCCTCCCTCCTGGACAGACTCCCTGCCCCAGTCTGCTCCTGCACCTTCCCTCTTGGCCAGACCCCCTACCCCCAGTCTGTTCCTGCCACCCTCCCTCTTGGCCAGACACCCTACCCCCAGTCTGCTCCTGCATACTGCCGCTTGGCCAGACACCCTCACTCCTGGTCAGGCATCCTATCCCCAATCTGCTCCTGCATCTACCGTTGCTACTGCACCCTCCCTCCTAGCCATACACTGCATCCTACCTTGCTCTTGCTCCCTCCCCCTGGCCAGACACCCCACTCCTAGCCTGCTTCTGCACCCTACCTGCCATCCAGACTTCGCAACCTCTCCCTCTTCTGCTCCCTCCCAGATTTTGCACCCCATCCCTATCCCACTCTCTGGCAGCCCTGTCACACACTGAACCCCTCATTTTTGTCCCCACCTCAGAACCTAAGGGGGCTCCATAAAATCCACCAGAAAAGTAAATCTCACCTATAGGAAGACTTGAACCTCAGTCCTCCCTGTCCCTTCCCCTTTCCTCTTGGGACTAGAATGACAGAAGAGTGAGGGTACGTCTACACTACAGCGCTAGTTCGAACTAAGCTAGTTCGAACTAACGCATCTAGAACTAAAAACTAGTTCGAACTAGCGTTTTGCTAGTTCGAACTAGTAAGTCCACATTGAGTGGACTCTGAACAGGGCTTAAGGATGGCCGGAAGCAGTGCCGGCAGGGCATAAAAGGAGGACTTAGAGCGTGGAGATGCTGTCTCAGGCTAGCCGAGGGCTGCGCTTAAAGGGTCCCGACCCCCACCCCGGACAGACAGTTCTAAGGGGTGCCCCGCTTGCAAAGAAGTTCTGGCTTGGAGTGCCCTGAGTGCCCACACTGGGCACATCACACCACTCGGCCATCAGCCCGGCTGCACTTGCCGCAGGCTGCCATCTGGGGAGAGGGAGTAATTGGGGGGGCTGCAGGAGAGCTTCCACCCCCAGAAGCCCGCAGAGCCAGCCCAGTCCTCCCCATCGGGGGCTCGTACCCCATTCCTCCCTCACCTCCTTCCACTTACCCTTCCCTAGCCCCCCTTCTTATTGATGTACAAAATAAAGATAACGTTTCTTCCAACATTGACTCTGTCTTTATTGAAAAAAACTGGGGGAGACTGGGAAAAGGAGGTGGGAGAGGGGAAGAGAAAGGCTGGGAGAGGGGAGGGCAACTAACATGATCAGGGGTTGGGAACAGGTCCCAGATGAAGAAAGGCTACAGAGACTGGGACTGTTCAGCTTAGAAAAGAGGAGACGGAGGGGGGACAGGATAGAGGTCTCTAAAAGCAGGGGTTGGGTGGAGAGGGTGCATTCAGAAAAGTTCTTCCTGAGATCCCATAAAGAAGGACTAGAGGACACCAAAGGAAAGGAATGGGTAGCAGGCTTGAAACTAGTAAGAGAAAGTTGTTGTTCTTGACAAAGCAAATAGTTAACCTGTGGAACTCCTTGCTGCAGGAGGCTGTGAAGGCTACAACTAGAACAGAGTTTAAAGGGAAGTGAGATAAAGTGATGGAGGTTGGGTCCATGGAGTCCTATTAGCCAGAGGGTAGGAGTGGTGTCCCTGCCCAAAGTTTGTGGAAGGCTGGAGAGGGATGGCACGAGACAAATGGCTTGGTCACTGTCTTCGGTCCATCCCCGCCAGGGTCCCTAGGGTTGGCCGCTGTCGGCAGACAGGCTACTGGGCTAGATGGACCTTTGGTCTGACCCAGGACGGCCATTGTAAGCTCAGGGCTCAGGGTCGGGGGTCTCAGTGGACCCCCTTGATTTTCATGCACACCTGCTCCTGGGTGGCCAGGCTGGCAGCTCTCCTGCCCTAGACGGCCACTTTCCTGTGCCTAGTGCGGAGATCGTGGACGAGGTCCACGATGTCCTCACTAGCCCAGGAAGGTGCCCTCCTCTTGCGGTCCAGGGCAGTAATTCAAATTACTCTACTGACAAACTATTTTTGGGTCTGCTAGCTGGGTGCTGGCAGGCTTGCACCTGGCACGGGCACCGTAGCCAGCCCGTGCCCCTTTAAGGGGTCCGGGGCCGGGAGGGGGGCATAGAGTTTCCCTGGTGTTGGCCAGAGTGGCCACCAGGGAAACCTGGGAAGCCTTAGCCTCCCACTAGTTCGAACTAAAGGGCTACACAGCCCTTAGTTCGAACTAGCTAGTTCGAACTAGGCGTTAGTCCTCGTAAAATGAGGTTTACCTAGTTCGAACTAAGCGCTCCGCTAGTTCGATTCAAATTCGAACTAGCGGAGCGCTAGTGTAGCACCTATTAAAGTTAGTTCGAACTAACGTCCGTTAGTTCGAACTAACTTTGTAGTGTAGACATACCCTGAGATATCTCAGCTGAGGGCCACATCAGTGAGGGCTGGGGGTTGGGGGAGTTCTTTTGCTGCTCACTTGTGTGGTCCCCAACTGATTTTTCTGTGGTCCTGACCCAAAAAATGTTCCCCACCCCTGACATAAATAAAGAAAATATTGAAACCTTTTGTGTTGGACATAAACTAATATTTTATTTTATTTTAATTAAAATGAAGTTTGATAAACTAACATGAGAAAGTTAAAATGTTTAATCTGTTTAGTAATTTAAATTAAACCACTCTCCCTAGCTGCAGCACTAGAAAAATGGCTCAGGTGTAATTATGCAATTAACTGTGTGTTTCCATTAGCAACTGGTGGTCCACGGAAAGGCTTACATTGAGCCAGATGGTCCACAGGCCAACAACATTGAGAATCACTGAAACAGAAGCACCCCATGCCTCTTCCCACAAGAGACCGCCCCAGGCTCTCTTCCCTTCTTCCAGAAGAGACATCCTGCCTTTCTGGATGCACTGAGTGTTTCCATGTGGCATCTTAACACGTTGTTTGAATCATCAACTACTTGGATGAGGAAAACTCACAAAAAGTCTGTCCATCATCCATACTGCAGTGACACAGTGATTTCACCACTATGCTAACAGACGGATCTCTCTGTGGGGGTATGTCTACACTTGCACCCTACTTCGAACTAGGGATGCAAATGCAGGCATTTGAAATAGTCAGTGAAGCAGGGATTTAAATATCCTGTGCTTCATTAACATGATCTCGCCGGCGCGTTACTCTGAATGCCAGCTGTTTCAAAAGTGAAAGTGCACGCCGTGACACGTTAGTTCGAACAACACCCCTTGGTTCGAACTAACGTTATTCTTTGAGGAGTAACATTAGTTCAAACCAAGGGATTTGGTTCAAACTAATGCGTCCCAGCATGCACTTTCACTTTCGAAACAGCTGGCATTCAGAGTAACGCGCCGGCGAGATCATGTTAATGAAGCACAGGATATTTAAATCCCTGCTTCACTGACTATTTCAAATGCCTGCATTTGCATCCCTAGTTCGAAGTAGGGTGCAAGTGTAGACATACCCCCACAGAGAGATCCGTCTGTTAGCATAGTGGTGAAATCACTGTGTCACTGCAGTATGGATGATGGACAGACTTTTTGTGAGTTTTCCTCATCCAAGTAGTTGATGATTCAAACAACGTGTTAAGATGCCACATGGAAACACTCAGTGCATCCAGAAAGGCAGGATGTATTGTCTCTCTCCAGAGAGGGTTGTGTCTAGGTGAACAAGCCCTTTGCGAGCTCTTGGGCTACAGGTTACCTAGACTTGAATGGAGTTAGCGGTGACAACACATTTCTGAGTTATTCTGACAGACAAAGTGAAACCTGTGCTAAAGACCCCACAACCAGAGAGAGAAAGCACTGCTGTCAGAAAAAGTAAATTCAAAGTCTCACCAATTTTCTTCAAAGGTCACCTCTATCAGGCAGTGGGACTTTTACTGATTGGTCCCTTATATTTTTGAAGGGTGACTAAATATTAACTGGATCTTCTTGGGTAATATCAACAGATTGCTTTGGGCCCAATCCTAGCTTAAAATTTAAATTGGATTAGGCGCTTTGTAAGCAGGTTGGAAAGTGGTCTCATTTGGCAATTATTATTAGGTATTATTTATATAATATAGGCAATGCCGTCATGGTATTGATGTATACGTTTCTCAGTCACTTTACATTTAAAATAGCCCAACCCCATTGATCTTCATAAGAAATATACCTTGCGAGCAGTGGTGGCGAACATTAGTGGCATGATCTTCTCCACCTTATAATGGTCATGGTTAGTTCAGTATTGTCATTCTGACTTGTGGAAATGGAGGACACTTGATATTTTGCAGGAACTTCAAAAAATGCAGTTGCAATATATCTCATTAAGCATGTAAATTCCCATTCGCATTAATTGGTTAATGTTAGGTCACACATGGGCTGCCACCAGCTCCTGGCCCACTACAGACCAGCCCCTGTTCACAGACACTGGCACAGTCCCTGCCTGTGGGGCCCCCGGGTTCCCCAGAGAAGGGGACAAGAGCAACCCCTGTCTGTAGCGAGCCCTCTGCGGGGCTGGAGCAGGCCCCTTCCTGTAGCAGGTGGGGAATTGCTCCAGCCTCCTCTGGTTATCAGTTAATTGGAACTGGGAAGCATCATCCATTAAGAGGACTAAGGAAGTTGTTCCAAGAAATTGTGGGATAGTTCTGGATGATTCCCAGGCCCTGAGTCAAATGGGGCTGCATCTACACTGCAAAGTAATAGGGTCTTGGATACTGGATTTCATCTTGAATCGAGGTTGGACCATTAGCACTGCAGAGTCATAGGACCCTAGGTCTGGACCCTGGGTTAATGCAATTGCAGTATAGCTGCATGGGGGGGCTCCTATGGGGCCCAAACCCATCCCTATTGCTAGAGGATAGTGGGAAGAGTTCTTAAAGGGTCACATGACACCTTTTACTTCCAGCATGTGTTCATCTTGACCCCGCTTCCAGTGGGGCTTCCTGTGGCAGGCGTGTGGGACCTAAGGGATTAGGGGCATGGCTAGCGGTTTCTGGGGGCGTGGCTAAGGTGTCCCTATTTTTTATTCAGAAAATATGGCCACCATAGCAGTAAGTCAGAATGTTGCCCAGTGCCCACACAAGCCTAGGGCAGAGTGAGATATATACTCACACCGATCCTTTCGGGGCTTAAGGGAAGATCCCTGTTCCCTGCTGCATGCACTTATCTCAAAAATTACCATGGCAGCAGTCAGCTAACTGTGGACTCAGGTACATAACACAGGTTACCTTTACCCTGTCTCCAACATTGTAAATGATTACTCTTTTCCTAGAATGTTCCTACAGGCCTACTCCCCTTTCCTTTTTACCAAGGTTAGAGTGAAAGTGAAAGCAGCTCTCTGCACCCAGGCAAGTGAAGCAAATTGCAGAAGGGGATTTTTGCCTGGGAGACACCACTTTCTTCCTCATACAGGTTGTGTTCAGTTTCTGGAAATGCAGAGATGAAGAGGGGGAGACCCTCATCCTAGGGAAAGGAATCAGCTGCCGGGCTCTGAGGAGAGCAAGGAGCTGCTGCTGCCAGCTGAACCAGGTGAGTTTCTCTGGGAACCACTGCCAAACACCCTATGCCCTGAAGGGATCCTGACAGCAGTGAGAGCTGCCATGTTCAGTCCCCTACCTACAGAGCCCAGGAGCCATCAGATTTGCTATGCAGAGGGCCTGCTCAGACAGGTATCGCTCCTCTGGCTTTTCCTGTGCCCATTGCTGTTCTGTAGGGATTAGGGTTACCAGGTAGTCTTAAAAAAAATACCGGACAGGCTGCATGGGAGAAGGGGAGGGAAGGACCGGCCGGGAGGGGAGCAGTGCTGGCC